AGAGAGAGAGAGAGAGAGTAGGAGGAGGCGGGGGGAGGGTTAAAACCACAGTCGAAATATATATTTTGAAACCCCAAAACCTCTAAATACGATCTCCCACTTTGTGCCTGGAAACAAACAGACGGGAAACACACGTGTTACTAAGAGGAAGACAGAAATAACCCGGACCCCTTTAATCACTTAGGAGGCGGGCGTTTTACATAATAACTTACGTATCTGATACAGTATCCATAACCGAATGTGAGATCCTTAAAAACTTTCCTCGGAACCCACGTATAAAATGTTCCCTTAGGGATTTAAACTAAGATCACCCGCTTAGAATCTAGTAGATTAGTATTGTTCGTAAAGATGCTACTGTGGGCCGAATTCTTTCTTTGACATGACAAAGATGTATGGTCCCGACTGCCGGATGTTCGTCGTTACGGCAGAGCTAAGTAGAAACCCATGAAAGACCTAACCCAACAGCAGTGTGCCTGTCGTTTAACACGTTTAACAGCTTCCAAATTTTTGGCTCGAATTAAGATATCCATAAATAAGATTTTAAAAAGGCTCATCTCTGTACTTTAACCTGCGACCGTCCAGATTTGCATGATTAAGAATAATGAAAACGTGCTTTCCAAAAGGTGTCAGAATTCAATAATAAATCTTTTCAGAACGCCCTTGAGTACTAAATGTCATGTCATCATGCTTTATGCTCGTATCTAATTTCTTCATCATGCTGCGTTTCCCTTCACCGGGGTTGTTTTAAGGATTTCTTAAGACTTTGTTTTTGCCAATGTTGAGTTGACGTGTCCAACCACAGCACAATGTCGAGCACATTTGGGGAAATATAGAATTTTAACAAATACCAAGGACCTTCTTTCGAATTTGAACCTCTACCTTCGTCGTTTTGGCTGTGTCATCCTTTCTCCATTAATTCACTGTAACGTTTCTCCTTTTGCCTGAACAACCAATCGATTAGTTTTCATCTCTACTTCAGGTTTATAACTGAACAAAAATGTCAAAGCTCTCGGCATTGCAATTTGTTTTTTTTCAGTCATCAAATCAACGTGTCCTCTTGAAATCCCTTGTTTTTGTTGTTTTGGTGTAGTAGCGATGGGTTCTGTTCTTGTCTTAGCTCTCTTTGATTTCTCTGTGTGCAGCTTTGAAACACTGTTATGTTTCTAAATTCGCGTATTTTGTCGTTGTTATTTTTGTAGCTGCTGTTGCTGATGTTGTAAATCAATCAGTACCACATCAACATTCTGATAATGAAGGTAATGAATGATGATAATGTGATAATGACAGTGATAATTATCTTGATAGCAATGGCATTCATTCGAACGTCAAGCTAATACATTTCAATCACCAACTTTCAGTTCAGACATCAAGAAAGCAACATGCACGACGTCTCATAGTCACATCAAAAGAGAGGCCTCACAGCGTCTTGAGAAAAATTTTCTCACAAGTTTCTTCCCCAAACTTTATTTAAAGTGATGTTGATATGTATGTCAATTTATGACTTATACTGTTGTCATAGACGTCTCTTCTGTAAAAAATGTGCGTTTTATTTGATGTGGGCCAGTGACCTTAAAGACTGAAAAAGCGCTTACTTACTCTCGCTAAACTTACTTTTCTGTTTTTTCATTCATCCAGTCATTCTGATGATTATTTTTGTGTTGTCTTTTTAATCCTCGCTCAGGAGCTTCTTATCGATTGTTCGCTCATTCATACAACATGATGGTTGGGGTTTTTCCCCCCTTGCTCAAGAGCTTTCTATTGTTTGCTCGTTCCAACATAATATGGTTGTATTATAGTATGAGTATATATTATAATAGGATGTTTTTGTTGTTTGTTTATTTGTCCAGGAGCCTCCTATTTATCGATTGTACGTTCCATCATACATGATGATAATATTGTTTTGTTGTTTCTTCATTCAGGAGCTGAAGGAGCTGTCTGCTCTCGCCTACCGCGACACCACCGCCGAGAACCGCGAGTTCTGGAAGAACGAGCTGTCCCAGGCCATCCGCGACATCCAGCAGGAATACGACATCAAGGTGGACCAGATCAGAGGAGAGATGGAGACCTTCTACAACCTCAAGGTAAGAAGTGACGCCAAGCGCTGTGGGTGCAGCAGGTAGCATGGCTCCACACTGAACGCGGCACTGCTTTTTCTGTTTTTCATTCTTTCTGGTTTTTTCTTGATGTTTCTCTTTGTCTCTCTCTCTCTCTCTCTCTCTCTCTCTCTCTCTCTCTCTCTCTCTCTCTTTCTCTTTCTTTCTCTCTCCCTCTCTCTCTCTCTTTCTCTCTCTTTCATCTCTTTCCCTAGCCCTCTCTCTCTTTCGTTCTGTCTCTCTTTCTTGACTTTTCTTGACCCTTATTCTCTGCCCCCCCCTTTCTCTCTCTCTCTCTCTCTCTCTCTTTCTCTTTCTTTCTCTCTCCCTCTCTCTCTCTCTTTCTCTCTCTTTCATCTCTTTCCCTAGCCCTCTCTCTCTTTCGTTCTGTCTCTCTTTCTTGACTTTTCTTGACCCTTATTCTCTGCCCCCCCCCCTTTCTCTCTCTCTCTGTCTCTCTCTCTCTCTCTCTCTCTCTCTCTCTCTCTCTCTCTCTGTCTCTCTCTCTCTCTCTCTCTCTCTCTCTCTCTCTTTCCTCCCTTCTTTCTTTCTTTCTGCCTCTTTCTCTCCCCCTTTCTGTTGACGTCTCTAATCATCATTTAAATTTTGACCTTTCAAATTTCTTGCAGCAACTTGATTGTACTCTTACAAGAAACTCACTCTAATCATAACTGGTCCTACACATCTCCATGTCGCCACTTATTCCCTTCTCCTTCAACGATGATAGCATCACCATTATCATCTCATCATCACCATCATAATCATCATCATCATCATCATCATCATCATCATCATCATCATCATCATCATCATCATCATCATCATCATCGTCGGTGTTATAGAGTAGATTAGTTTATGACGGAGATTAGAATAGATTCCAGTAACGTTAAGTGTGTGTAAAACTATGTTCAACGAATCCATATCCGTCGCCATCACCATCGCTATTGTCATCACCATTATCACTACCACCATCACCAACAAGAACAAGAACAACAACAACAACAACAACAACAACAACAACAACAATTAAATCAACTTGTCTCCCCTCCCCACCCCCTTCCCTTTCTCCAACCAGGTCCAAGAGTTCCGCACAGGAGCCACCAAGCAGAACATGGAAGTGACCCACGCCCGCGAGGAGACCAAGAAACTGCACAAGCAGCTCGCCGACTCTCGCGGTCGCTTGTCCGATCTGGAAGCCAGGGTCAGTTTTTCATTGCCGTTTGTTCGGTTCGGTTCTCTCCTTTTTTTATCGTTGTCTCTCTACAAGGTTTATGCGCTCATATGACCTTATGCAGTTGCGAGCGCCGTAAAACTCTTACTAAACTAAAGACTAAACAAGATTTTTCAAAGAATTGTCATATATTTTTTTGTTATGTTCGTCATACGCCTAGAACCCAATAGGGGGAGTGGGCACCACAGAAATCTACGTGTTCATTATTATTCTTGTTATTCAATTCATATCATTCTCTAGGTACCATAATAATTCGGTTTAGAAGCAGAATTTGGTAATGGATCTAAGAACAACTGCAGTGCCTACATACATTATTGAATATCAGAGAACAAAAATATAATTTATCACAGCAAGATTGTTCCTAGTTCCTCGATCCTTTTTAGGCTGAATTCGTGACAGTCTCCATTTGTAATAGACTTAACATAAAAATGCTTTCTCAGTAGGATACATTGTTGGTTTAAAACTCATGTTCACATAAACGTTTAATGCTTATAATAGAAAATATCACCTGCGGTATCTGCAATCATTCACAACGATTTACATTTATTTTTTTCCAGAACGCTCAACTGGAGAAGCAATACCAGGAGCTGCTGAGAGAGTTGGAACAGAAGGACTCCGAGCACGACCTGGAGATCAACTCCCTGAAGGAGGAGATGAACAAACTCCGTGCCGAAATGGAAGGCATGCTGGTGGAGCTCCAGACACTCATGGACGCCAAACTGTCACTCGAGTTGGAGATTGCTGCCTACAGGAAGCTTCTGGAGGGTGAAGAGACCAGGTGAGTAACCTGTTTGTGTGTGTGTGTATGTGTGTGTGTGTGTGTGTATGTGTGTGTGTGTGTGTGTATTTTATATGTTTGTTTGTTTGTTTGTGGTTTTGGTGGATCAGGGGAATAGAGTGGGTGGGAAGAGGGGGGGGGGGGGGAGAGGGGGAACGGGGTGTGAAGTATTATTTGTTTATGTGGTACGTCAAAGTCTTTGAAAATAAAGCAGAATTTAGAATGATAGTGGGGATATAGAGCGGCGGTGATTAGGAAAGCTGTGGCAAAAAGAGGATTCAAACTACTAGGGTCAGGCGGTCGTGTTGGGGAAGAGGGTGCTAGTTGCACATTACCGACAGGTGATGGAAACAACCGATAGGGAGTTGAGAGGGGCGGAGGTGGGTGGGGGGGGCGAATAACAGTTTTCAAACTTGTTATATTTTAATGTTTGTCGAGCAGTGTTCGCAAAGCAGGATAGTACAATATTTGCACAAAATGACATAACTAAAAGGGACGGCGGCTGGGGGTGGGTTAGTCTTTGTGGGTTATGGATTTGAGACGTTCCTTTCAAGTAAGGCTGAGTAGAACGAACATTCCTTTCTCTTTATCAGTAAGGGAATAATAATATAAAAAAGTTATTTTGATAGTAGTGTTTATTTTGTTGTCTTATTTATGCGTGTGTGTGTGTGTGTGTGTGTGTGTGTGTGTGTGTGTGTGTGTGTGTGTGTGTGTGTGTGTGTGTATGTGTGTGTGTGTCTGTTTCATGTTCGTGTATTTCTATGTGAGTGCTGTTGTCAATGTTTGACTCCAAAACATTCAAAAGAGTAATGAACACTGATAATTTGCTGTCACGATTTTCATGTGTGTTTTTTTAAGTTTTAAAGGCTTGTTTTAGTCCATTACCTAAACGTTAATATAATTTATCATGGTATGAGAGGAATTTCCTGATAAGAATAGTAACAACTGAAATACTTTTAAATAAGTAACGTTCTTGGTTTAAAATTCTTGTTCAAAAAGAATGTTTAAGGTTTTTGTTGTTTTTAAAAAATAAATTCCTATATTATGACTCTTGAGAAGGTAAGTAACTGCTGTAGCTGTATCAAGGTTGTTTTTTGTTGTTTTTTTTAATTTATTATTGAACGACGTCTGTCTGTGTTTTTTCTTTTGAGGAGAATGAAAAACAATAATTAAGAAAATTCTTCATTCGTTGAAATTTGTTTCAAAACTTTTTTTTTCCAGACGGTTATGCATTATTTACGTTTATTTTTCTGTCCTCAAATCATCTACCGGTAGTCTTCAATATTGTTTTGGTTCCCTTTTCTATATAAAATTGATTACGCTGTATACATTTTATTTATCAGTTTTATTCTGTTATGACTGTGGATTCAATTTTTTAAACTCTTCCTCATCTCTCAACTGTCTGTGTCGCAAGTGAGTAAGTGGAGCATTGTGTATGCCTTATACAACGTAACCTTAATCAACTGTATTAATTCCTAATGCTCAATCTTTCGTGAAATTGCTTGTTTAATCCAACATGTGTGACGTTATTGTGTGTTCAGTGCACATTGATCTGGGAGTTTGTTTGACTACCTATTAATTTTTCTCAGGAAATTGAGGGGGGGGGGAGGGGAGTTGGGGGGGGGGGTGGTTCAAATATCAGTTTAATTGTTTAAGAGTGCACTTTGAACTGAGGACTTTTATTTTGATTTAGTCCCTTTTTATTTTCAAATCATGAGAAAGGAGGGGGGGGGGGAGGGGAGGGATAAGTGATTCAACTCTTCACCCTTGTTCGTTTTGGGGTCCTGTTCCTCCCGTTGTGCTTCGGGAGTCAATATTATGTTCAACATGTTTCTCATCTTCTAAACTCAGCAGAAATACTCTAACATATCTACTCTTAACTCACAACGCTGAACCTCCTTTACTTTGACAACATCTTCTCTACTCCATTTTGAGTTTCCATCTGCACGCTGACCTGATATTCACTCATTGGTTATTTTTTCCTACATCCATTTGCTTTTCTCTCGTGATTTTTGTTATCTTCAGTCTATTCATATAAATCTGTTTATCTGGGCAACCTTGAGTTCAGTCCTAATCACGTTTTCATTTCGGTATTTTTTATCAGACTTTTGATTTTACTTCGTTCCCATGTCCTGTCCCTTTCATCCGGGCAGTATGACTCCCCTCCGTTCCCTCTGTTTAGTCTCTTTATTTATTCGTCCTACCCTCGTGACTGTTTCATCCGGCCTGTGTTTAATTGTTCATGCATTAATTCCACACCATTTTCTCTTTTTTTCCTTTCATTCTCCAGGTATTTTGATTCTGAGAGTGTTCAGTTGCATCTACCTTTTATTTCCACAGTTTTGTCTTTATTTCTTTCATTCCATACTCCATACATTTTCGTTCTGGCAGTGTTCATTTGTAACCCCCCTTCATTCCATACTTTTTGTCTTTTTTTTCTGTTCTTCATTCCATCTTTGTGGTCCTTTTTACCCGGGTTCTGTCCCCTAACTCGGCTATTTCTCTATCCGCCCCTCCCCCCTCCCACCCACTGCACCCACTATACAGGATACCTCTTCGCAATTCTTTCTGGTCAGCCTATACTCCTTATTCCGACTCTTCACACAAATCTGAGCCAATCAGCGCTCCCTACCGCCCTTCATCTTCTTCCTCTAAGACCAGCTTTAGCCGCCCGAGCGTCCGGGACACCAGCAGGACGACCTCGACCCCCAGGGGCCATGATGTGAGGATCAAGGCCGCCCGAGCTCCGGTGGTGGAGAGTGTGACTTCAGTGCAGAAAGCAACAACCAGTTACGAAGCGCCTCCCACAATTGTAGAACCGGAAGAAGAGGTTATCGTGAAAGAGGAAGCGGAAACTGCTTTGAGGTGTGAGGCCCCTTCTCCCGCTCCTGCTGTACAAGATGATGAACAAAAGGAAGAAGAGGAGAACAGTGCCCAGGTTGAGATGGTGGATACCAGGAACGAAATATCTGGGGATGTCAGCCAGGGAGATACTCAAGACGATGGCTCTGGAAAAGTAGTTATTGAAGCCAGTGATATTAAACAAGAAATCGTCTGTCAAGACCCAAGCTATGCCGAGGAAACTCATGAGTCCACGACCATTGAACAGCTAGTCACTCATAGTGGGGATGTCATGTCTCATGATGAAGTCACCGAAGGTGATGGCGCGAAACGAGAAGTTGAAGACCGCACCTATGATCAGCCTGAGGTCGGGGATGCAGGTGATGGTAAGCAAAAAGTAACCGAAGAACAAGAAGAGGAAGTTGCTAGATCCACAGAAGACACTTCTGGTGTGAAGGTCGGTGTGGATTCTTTTACTGAAATCCTCACAGCTGCAGTACAGGATGCGGTAGTCAAAGAGATTTCTGCTAGCGAGAAAGCGGAAACGGAAAAGATTGAGCAAGTGGAGGTTGTGGAAGAAGCAATCGTGAGAAGCGAAATCGTCGAGATACCGGAAGCGGCCCCGGCCAAGGACTCTGGTAGAGATGACGTAGGCAGTATGGCTCCAAGGCAAAATGAGGCAGAGGCAGGGGAGGGTGGGGTAGGGGAGGAGGGTGAGGCGGAGGGAGAGAGGGTCATTGAGTGCGCGAGGGGGGCAGAAGGACAGGAGGCAGAAGCACCCATTGTTTTAGACCCCCAGATTCAGGCAAATGATCAGGTTGGACAGGGGCCCGAACAAGTAGAAATCTCTCGTAATGAAGCACAGGGAGAAGGAGATGCCGCTGCTGCTTTGGTAAGTAGTGGAGGTGACGACGATGAAAAAAGCGGGCAGACGGAAGACGATGTTTTAGTGTGTGCTCCGAAAGAGCAGAAGACTGATACTGACTGTAAAGCCGCTGAAGACGCTGCTGGAGAAGACGACAGTGAGTCGACAGTTGCCAGTTTGGAGACAAGTCAGACTGAGGTATTTGTCACAACGCAAGCAGCTCCTGAGACAGCAGAAGTCGTCTCGGATACGGTCACAGAAAAAGAAGACGTGGAGCCAACTCAAGCTGCTGCACTTTTAATCTCGAAGGATAGTACTACAGATACTACACACGTAACAGAGGATATAAGTGTGAAATCTCAAAGCACTGAACCACACGAGGAAGATGAATCGAAGGCTGTAGAGCGCAAAGTAGAGGAAGACGTAATTATATCGAAGACGTTTAGTATGAGCGAGAGCAGTGCGAAGTTTTTATCGGAAGTACCCGTTGGGTCAGATAGTGGGGAAGGTGGTGCAGCTGCTGCCGAGGTTCCGGGAGATGTTGCTGGGCAGAATGGGATGGTAGTCGAGCAAAAGGATGACCACTTCAGAACCGAAACTGTGGTAGAGAGGAAGGAAGTAACAGTATCGACAGGCTCTTCTGACGTGGTTGTGCAGGCGCCTATATGCCCGAAGGAGGAGGATGAGCTGGAGGAGGAGAGTGTGCTCGTTAACGGGGTCAAGGATGATTTAATGGACGCATCTAGTCCCGACGTGAGTGCTGTGGATCACTTCCGAGCGGATTTCTCTATGGCGACGCCAGTACCCGGAGCAGAAAAGGGAACTCTGGACGACACGGACGATGACGCCCTTAATGATGACTACATGGGTGGAGGGGTAGAAGGTGGGGACACTGACGATAAAGGAGTTCGAAGCTCTGGAGAAGCTAGGGTTGATGAGCAATCCACTGAAGGCGTGAAAGTGGAAGGGTTGGTCACAACTACTAGCGTGACTGCTGCTGATTCTACTGATAGTTCTGAAAGTGTTGTGGTTGTTGATGCTAATGCAAACCCGGCTGTTGGACAAACTGATGGAGATATTGTTACAGTTGTTGAAAAGAAGGAAGCAAGCGATGACACAAGTGTGGTAACAGCTGAAGTTGAGGCGAACGCCACAGAGGACAGTAACGAGAAAGACAAGCAACATGAAGCGATGGCTGAAGAGACCAGCGGGGGTGACGGTGTTTCTACAGAGAAAACTGCTGAGGTAGAACGCACAGAAACAACAACTGTATACCATGAAGTGAGAAGTGAGGGCGTGCAAAAGTTCACCACGAGTACTGTGGAAACCGAATCAGAGAAAATGGTGTTTGACGGTGGTGCCGATGCTGCCGATATTAAAGTTGAAGAGGTAAAGGTTGAGCCGCACCAGGAACCCCAGACGTCGATACAAGGCATTGACACCATCTTACACCAAGGATCAGTGGTCACGAGCCAGTCGGAAACAGACGGTAAAGGGATAGTGGTTGAAGAAAAACAGGAGACATTTTCTTCGTTTTCGAAGCACGAGAGCAGTTCTATTACTGTTGAGGAAACTAAGTCTGTGGTCGACCAGGAGGTTTCTAAAGCGGGAGAAATCGCCTCTGACGCCAAAGTGCTTAAGAGTGTGAGTACGACGGAAACCCACTTTGAAGTGAACACGTCTACAGGTAAGACTGACAGTGGTCTCACATCCAGTGGCACTACATCTAAAACAGATGAGGAAGAAATGAGTCAAGGTCAAGGGGATACACAAGAAAATACACAAGAGTTTACGTCAACAGACGCCGGTGTCCCAGATCTTGAAAAGGATGCAGAAGAATCAGTGGCTAGCGGGATATCGGAGACCACTGAAAAGACCACGCTGACGTCTGTACAAATGTCGCAGCAAGAAAGTCCGGCTCTTTCACAAGCTGAGAAAGATGACGTTGTTCAGAGTGTTGCGGGGGAGAAAATTTATGACGCTGCTGCTGGGCTGCAGCTGAACGAACAAGTTGAAACTAGCAGTGTGACGGTTGAAAAACATGTGCTGGAGGAAACCGTGGATGGTTCAAGAGCAGGCAATATACTGGAAGCTGAAGAGTCGCTCACGGAGAAATCAATTGCTATTGATAATGCAGAGATTAGAGAAGGCTCAACCCAGGTTAACGACAACACAACTGTCACAGAATCGACCTCCGTATCATTTGGTCAAGTTGCCGATAACACAGATGAAGTTAAAGTAAAGGACGGAAAAGATGAATCCCAGAAAACCCTTGGAATCTCGAGTGGTACTATCAAAGAGAGTTCTACATCTGAGGTAAAAACAGAAGTCACCGATGAGGGCGACGGTGTTTCTGTGGAGAAAACTGCTGAGGTAAAACGTTCGGAAACGAAAGTTGTATCGCATGAAGTAACCGACGAAGGCATGCAGAAGGTTACGACCACTGAGGAACATTCCAGTGTAGAAGTCGTCCACACGAAATCAGGCACTGTCACAGAAACTTCTTTTTCTACAGTCTCGGTTCAAGAGAGCTCTACAAAAGACGCGATTTCTTTTGGAACTCAAGGACTGGACGAGACAGACAAAGAGAAGGAAGATGTCGATGTTCTGGTACAAGGATCTGTTGCTAAGGATGGTTACGAGGAAGGTGATGACGACACCACTTCTATTGACTCGCAAGGTGGGACGGGCGAGCTACAGGTTGCGACTGTTGATTTAAAGGACAGTACAGCCTCGGACAAATCCTCTGGGACTATGCTTGCCTCATCCTCTGACGAACTGCCCAAGGGTCAGCCTGATGCTATTCTAGAAACTCAAGTAAATCAGCCTGGTCTGGCCAGTGGTACTTTGTCTCTAGCGACAGAGAAAACTGAAAATAAAGATGGGAGTGACGTTGCAGAAAGTGGAACTACGTCACAGGAGTCAAATGTTACTCCGAGAGAGAGCACATCTGAGGAGGAAAATGTTGGATCTATTAAAAGTGTCAATTAGACCACCGAAATTGTTGTGTGTAGTGTTTCAGAAGAAAAAGTATTAATAACCAATTCTAGTCATTGTACGACCAGTGTCGTTCCATCGCCTACCATGCCGGTCAGATAAGTTACAACGTCTTGAATATCATCTTCCTCGTGTGGTGTCAGTTTTGTAGAAAAAGGAGACATTCCTTTCGCAAGAGATTCTCCCATGACCTTTGCTTGAAACCTTTTGGATGATGTTCCCGGAAAGCAAAATGTGTACTTTGTACTTACTGCGTCCTGACGCAAGTGGCGATCATTTGTGCATGTTGTTGAATCGTGTTTTCACACATTGTTACCCATTACTCCATTTCAGTCTTTCACATTTTGACTTACAATCTCTTTACCTTTTACATTTCTAAAAAGCCAAATCTTCATAGATCTTCATCACTTTTTCCTTATCGCATCTTTTGCGAATTACTCGGTGAGATGCTCTTAGCTCTGTTTTCAGTAATTTCTCACAGAACTTTTCTGTTACAGCACGAACTGTTAAGAAGGGTTGTACAAAGGTACAAAGCAACGAAGCGTCTTTTGCTGTCAGATTGGTTTTAAATGTTTGAATATTTATTAGAATATTGTGCCAATATGCACGTAAAATACTTACAGTCAGTATAATATTAATTATATATATACACACAGTTTTATACATACATATCGCTACGTAAAAATGAGTCTTAATTTCAATAAGAAAAACAAAATGGGAAGCTACATATCGACTTATAGATTGAAACGTGTGAATTATAACATACTTCTAAATAATGTGGATTTGATGATTTCTTGAGCTACAATCAACTCAACGTGATAATTACTTTACGTTGTAAAAATTCAATTTGATAATTACTTTTCGCTGTTGAAGCTCGACTTGATATTTACCTTTCGTTGTAAAAACTCATCGTGATAATTACTTTTCGGTGTAGAGCGAGATCACAATCCAGAGCCAGCTCACTCGCTTCGGTTTGTGACGTCACCAGCACAGGGGATGACGATAAGTCTGGACTGTCTAGCTCCGAAAAGTGGTCAACAGTTTCAGGTCAAATTTCTTTACCCTTGCCCTGATCTTTATATTATGGGATTGACTTTTGTCATTGTGACGGCGGTGTGACGAAGGAAGGCTTTTTTCTGTAGCTTGTTGGGAGCTTTGTAGCAGCCTTGCGAAACAGTTCACTCGGGTCACACCCTTCTCGGTTTTCTCTTTACGAGTAGAGCTTTGAGGCCGGGGCAGAGATTCCGTTTTCTGTTGGAGACCCTCTCCGGTATCTGTGGATCGGGGAAATTCAGAAGTTGTCTCTTACAGCTTCCTTCTTTATTTATGTCCCCACTTTTCTAGTTTGAATTCCCTTTCAGTTTCTGTATTTTTAAGTTTTGCCGTTTTCTCGCTTCTTTTTTGTTTTGATTTGTCCTGGGTTTGTTAAAAAGTTTCTCAAACCTAAAACTGTAGCGGTGATTTCAAAGGCTGAAATCCCCTCACTGAAAGTCTTCACCGAACTTCCCTTTTGTTGCAGTCTCCTTCTCTTGCCGTGTTCCTTTCTTTCAGTTTACCTTACCTTTCGTTAAACGTTAATTATTTTCAGTTTTTGTGTGTGTTTGTTTATGTTTTGTTAATGTGCCAATGCCTTTCATGTTTACCCAAAAAGACTATTGCTAACAATGTGCTTGTTTGTATAACTTTGGTTCCTTTGCTTTATTCGCCCTTCTGTTGCACTTTAACCTTTTCCCCCCCACAGGGTCGGTCTGAGGCACGTAGTGGAGCAGACTTTAGGGGTCAGGCAAAGCGGAAGCGCTCGCTTGGCGGACGTTATAAACGTATCTCAGGGCCAGGAGTATGAATCAGCGGGTGCGTATTCGGTTGAGACCATCACCAGCACCACCACCAAAAAATAGAGGCATTCATAGAAGCCTCTGACCCCGATCTCTCATAACTACTGTATCTCTGGCCGTGTTTTCCCCCCTCTCAGTCTTAGCTAGCTCGCTGGCCTTGTGCCCTGTAGCTCTAAGCTCTCGCACGAAGCAGTTACAATGGCCTCTATGGCTTGTTTAGAGCTATTAGAAGATTGCAATTTCAAGTCTACTACATATTAAAATTTATTTTAAAAGCCACTCTTCAATCTACGCTGAGTCAGTTTTTTTAAAAACCCACAGCAACTATTCATTTCTTGTTCATTGGCACCTATGTTGCCAGTGCGTCAGCGTAAACGATAGGAAAATTTCGGATGTGTGTGTTTAACAACTACGCAAAATAAACCTCTTCAGTAGCAGATGTACTGGACTATTTCTCATAGTTCACATCACCAATCATAATTTTGCTTCTGCATACGTACACGTATCGCCACGTTTTAATTTAGTATTCATTTAGTAATTACTAAGAAAATTGCCAAGTCACCTTCAAAGCAAATGTATTAGACACTGCTTCATCTTCGTTCCCATCACTTTTATGTTTTGTTCATGCTTCCATCTTTTTTCACGTGGGTTCTGAACCATCTCCCTGTCATCTCTGAACCTCTAGGCATTGTTTTAATGTACCCATGACTCACGATTAACATACATTGTGTGAGCGTTCGACCTGTTTCATAATTTTTTTATCATTATTATTATAATTAAACTGTCTGGTTGTGGATTTCCCTTATGGCTTATTTATTACAGAATATGTATGTTGACTATTGATGATTCATTCACCCACGCAGTTTTTTAAAAGATCCAATATACATTTTATTAGAACATTAGACGAGTTGTTCTTTCTACGTTAACGGATTCTTATCTATCTGTGTGGCACTTTGATTACGACTTCCTTAACCAGCATTACAAAAGATTGTTCCTTTTTTTCGGGGAATTGAATGTTTTCTACATTATTTTCTTTCATTTGGGTTTTACTCATACTATCCAGGCGCGAAGGGACATTTGGTGGCGGTTTTGTAACACAAACAAATGGTGCTGGCAGTGGGCTGTGAATGGGATAGTTTGATAGAAAAAGTCAGGAGAGTTGTTTTTTTAATGACAGTGAGTTGTGATAGAAAAACTTTGTTCACATTCTCTAGAACAGCAAGTCACGGTATAAGATGTAGGAGAGACCATGTTCTCTAACACTAACCTGTAGTGATGCTAGGTCATCTTCTCTTACATTTCTGCTTTTTATGAAAGCGTATTAACCTTTAGACAGAGCTAGAATCACTCTTAGAAAATGCTTGTGGTTGTTTTTTAGTTCTTTAGAATTACTATTTTCTTTATATTATTATAGCTTATTAACGGCCTATACGGTTTGTTGATTATTAAAAATATTGTTGCTACGTTTTAAATTATTTCAAAATTGTCTTCAATTATGAAGAGTTAAAAAAAAATCGAATTCGATGTTTCGATAACCACTCTGAGCATGAATCGATGTACATTCCTGATAGAGAGTAACTGAAATCTTTCTTTCTTTGTTTAAATGATCTCTTCTGATTGTCCAATGCAATTTCATTATTACAGAGAGTAGTAGTAGTAGCTACCAAGAAACAGCAGGTAATTCTTTTTGACCGCGTGAAGACGTGTGTAAGACTTTAACACCCAACCTATGAGTGAACGCCTTGGTGTGAAGCAGGCTTTAGTGGTCCGGACAAGCTTTGTGGTTTTTCGCCCTACAATTTCGCTGAAGAAAAAACCACAACTGCTTTTCGGTGGTTGTCAAAGTCTCTTAAGAAAATGATCGTCTTTGTAGATCAGTTTGAAACGCCTCGCTTCGCTACTACGTTATAATGATAACCGCTAACAGCTAATGTAACTTACCTTTAACTTTACTGACAAACGACCGACCAAAATTGAAATAATGTTATGTTGTGTCCGAGTTTGACTCAGAATGCACTGTAGCGATGTAGGAAAGATGTATGCATTATAACACCAATAGTATGAGATTGCCTTGTGTCTGGGTCAAAGGAGCGTTCGTGTTAAAAGTATTACATTCTTTGGGACTCAAATTTCCCCAGCCTGACAAAACATGTATTCGGTTTTTAGAATAGGAAGGTAAAAATATTGATAAAGCGAGGAGCACAAAATGTTTCTCATTTTTCTTTGTTAACCTTTAGAGGCTGATCTTTTATTATTATCAATCAAGAATAATGGTGTTCATATAGTGAATCATGGTCTTGTAGTGCGGCCAATGTTGTGCCCAAGACTGTTTTCTAGCATTTGTATTTTAATAGATTAACTATGCCTGATTTTGTCAAAGAAAAACAAACAAACTTGGAATAAAAACGCTTTTGTTGCAACGTTGCGGTAGCTTTGTTATAAAACGGTGACGACGGCAAGGGTATGTTGCGCTTTGCTGCTCATTTTCATGACTTTGACGCTTTCATTTTGGAGACAGGCATCGCACTGAAAGTGGAGCTTGAATCACCTCTAGATAATTGGTATCAGTTTTTAGATTCTCTCACTAAATGTTATCACTGCTTGAAATATAGCAGGACTTCAATATACTTTTTAAGATGTTTGCTGAGGAGAAATGAAGTAGGGGATTGAGATTTTTATGTCGGCAAACAATACCCAACACAATTTCTATGGGTGAGCAAGTTTAGGATTTTTAGAACATTCACAAATTACCAGGTTCTTGACGCAAATTGTTGATTCTTTTTGACTTCTGAAATCGGGCAGTGATTTAATGTTCGTTATAAGTTCAAGGTCGAATATTCGACTGTGATGATTGCATGTTGGCATGTTACAACCTCTATTTCTAATGTCTTTCATTAAGATAAAAAAACAGGGTAGTGTTTCATATTAATACTTTTTTAAATAAAGGAATGTGAAGATTTTACCGTCTTCAAAAGCTGTGTAAACGATGTTCTTAACCTCTATTCATACTAGTAACACGTTTCTTCCTCTAACGTTGGCAACTCTAATATGTTCACTCTTTTTATGCCATCAAGTTTCCTAGGAAAATGCAGACCGTTTTACAATCATTTATTTACATTGAATACCAATTATGTCGAGGGATCTTTTCTTTCTGTGAAAGACTGCGCTAGATGAAAAACATTTTTTTCAAAATAATATCTTTAAAAAATGTAGGACATGAGTTCATTTGGTGTTTCAAATTTATTAAGCTTGCCATTTGCACCAGGTCAATTGAACATAAGTTTCTGATGAGACAGAGAGAGATTGATCAAGAGCCAAGAATTTCTGATACAATCGGAATAGCTAAAGCATAATACACTTTTTCTGATGTAGATCAGGTGTTATTTGAGCTGCAGACCACCGCGTTCCAGTTGAAAGAGCATGAGAGCTAGAGCCCTTAAAATCGAGGCTTTAGCCTCCTTTTATTCCAGAGGAGTCGCTACTGTCACTTATAAAAAGGAAGAACCGGGAAGTAAACAGTATCGTTTCCCAGAAATGAAGCATTTGAACCAATGATAGAAAATACGTCATAAGAGATTTCGCACCTGCTTTCCTTCTTTAATCTTTCTTGCATATCAATTATACCCTTCCTACTGATATGAAGCATTATTCATTGTATCTTTTGTTTTCTTTTCCGGCGAAGAACCTGCAATATCTCTTGCCAAGGTCTTTACGAGCACATGTTCGCCTTTTTGCTTTTTCTATTTGTGAAATGTGATGCTTATATTGTAAGATATCATGCTTACCTGAAATCGCTACGCAAGGTCTCGAACCCAATTTATTTCTCCTAAATTTTCATGTCAACATCAGTTTTGTTACTATACTTCAGATACGTCGTTTAATCATAATTTCTGTGAACATTCGTTGTACTTTCTTGGAGCAATACCTTAAACCCAGATCCGGAACAACCGAGATCATGTCAACTCGCTCTGTGTTACTGCAACATTTAGTTAATGTGTTTAACGTTACGTTTTAGTATTTGCAACAGTGTTCAAGCTTTCAATAATCTTGCAAGCCTCTCCGCTGCTGTCGGCCAGTGTTCAAGGGGGGCACCCAGGCCATAAAGCGAAATGCTCTGATCGAATGCAACAACTTTTTGCTCTAAAAACGCATCGTGTGATTATTTACAATTTTCCGATCACGCAAAATCAAAATGTCTACATTTGTTAGATATTGTACTTATTGTGGTTGTTTTAAACCATCTTAAATTTTATTTTAAGTATTTAAAAAAATTGTGGGATTTTTTTTTTGTGAAACTACAAACTCAAAGGTGGAGGTATGGTGTATGAAAAAAGGTATACTTAAGGAACATTTTATTTCACGGATTATACGTTTCTTTTTGGGGTTGAAATTTAAAAAAAAATTTTTTTTTAAAGTGAAGGATATAATCGAAAGTTTCTTCACAGTGCATTTGATCAGTGATATTGTTTTGCAATTATGACTACGTGCCCCCTTTCTTAATAAAAAAAAAAATGTCCAAAAACATAGTTTTATGCGTTAATACGTTTGCAATCTGTTACCCTGTTTTGTTTATTTTTCTGAGTGCTTACAGTCTGCGATATATAACCATGTGATCGTATGCAAAATTAAAGTCTTTCTGTTCTAAAACTAACCATTCTCGTCTCGGCCTTGGTGAGGGTACTTAACGGTTGTGTATTTTTGTGTGGGTCTTGTGACTAAAAATACTAATTGACGCTAATCTTTAGATCGTAACTAATGCATTATGAAACCTGGCTGCAGTGTGATTGGAACGGATACAGGACATAAGAGATTCTTTTTGAGGGGGTGTGTTTGATTTTGGTTTCGTTTTGTTTGTGTGTT